TATGTTCTCCGCCCAGTACAAAAAGGCACACATACGCGTGTACGGCAAGTCGCTTCCCCCCCTCCCCCTCCCTCCGTGTGTGTGTGTGTGTGTGTGTGTGTGTGTGCGGGCCTCCGCCACCCCAACCAGACGTCAGGAAGCCCACAAAGAAGAAGAAGGAGGAATGACGGCCGTTCATCGTAAAGAAACACCCACATAAAAAAAAAGTTTAAAAAACACGCAAACGGAGAATCAATTCATTCACACCACAAAACAATGAAGCCCTGCTCCATTAACTACCTCTTTAGTATAGACATTCACACAGTGACAGAAAGGGAGAGTCATTGACCTTGCTTCTGACACCGATACCAGCAGCTGGTATGACCGCACCGGCACCCCGTACTGTCTCTCTCCCTTTTCTGTTCTGTTAAAGGGCAACGCCACACGCGCGTGCGTTGCGGGCAACACCGGAGGAGCCGGTTAAAAAGGAAAGGGTCCACATAAGTCTCGGATAGGGGGGAAGGAAATAAAACACGAGAAAAAAAACACTTTGAAACGGCAAAATGCCCCGTGGCTAGACTGGATGACACTCCCAGAAAAAGCAAAAAAAAAAACGGTACACTGCAGGGGTAAAGCATGAGAGCAAAGGTATATCATATATATATATATTGTCACTACAAACATCAAGGCAAAACAAAAGAAGCCACGCGCTGGGCGCACTGTACATCCCCAACTTGCCTCCCCCACCCTCCCTGGAGAAAAACGGAGAGAAGCACTCCTCGCTATTACAAGCGCACATATACACACACCTCCCCCCCACTCTCCCAGCGTCACAAAAGGCAAGGAGACCTCGGCTGCAACAGGCAGACGAACGCACAAAACTAAAAAGAGACCAAATCAATAAAAAAAAAAAGAGTGTGTGCCTTTTTATTGTTGTCATTTTATTCTTCCGTGTTCTTTAAAAAAAAAAGGATCTTTAGTTCAGAAGCATGACAGTAGAAGATCAACGCTTCTCAGACGTTCTCCCTATTGGGCAACCAGCCCTTGGTTGAGCGTTGCGGCCGCAAAAAAACCTACCTGGTCGGCCCCCTGCTTACGCATTGCCCCCTAAACGTGTGACAGGGAGTCGCTGCGATACACCACACGGTCCTGACTATAGGCCCGGACGTAACCTTCCGGGCGAGAGGTGTAGGGAGCACTTCTTGGGAGCGCCGGTAGGCGTGGCTGTGACCCAAGTGGTTTCGCGTCACGAGGGACAGAAACAAACTCCACCCCAACTTCCTTCGCCACAAAGACAAAAAGGCGACAGGGACAAGCTTCTTGCCTACGCCTGCCTGCGCAAACCATTATGATTGAGTAGCGTCCGCTTTGCACAGCACGGAAGATAAGCGCCTGTTCACGGGCATCGCTCAGAGCTGCGGTACTCGCCTCCCTAATACCATATTCATTGCAAACATGAAACGACACCAAATCCTCCGCCACAAGATCACTGCAGTCCAATAGCGTTGAACGCGTCGCCTTCGCTTGGCGAAGCAAAATATGCACGTCGCTAGTATCTTTTAACAAGAAGTCCACACGAGTCCCCTCCTTATTGCCAGGATAGAGTGCCACCTTTGTTACCAATGGCTCACGGCTAAGGCCGGCGTTCCGCAACGGGGTCAACGTCACGTTTGCCAACCCATGATAGACAGAAAGAGTAAATCTACCCTGGCAGCCGCGCTTCAGGGTGTACGGAACGAGGTAACAACTCATGTTGGGTGGAAGCTCCGGTTGCGAACACACTTCCCTAGTATCCAGCATCATACCTTTTTGGATAAAACGGTGTGTGTTATGCGTAATAAGCGGACTTGGTGGCATCCTCACATGTACCGGCTGTAACACAGCCAAGCCCGTCTGGTGGTAGTGATTCACGCCGTCTCTGTCTGTAGAGGACGGTGCCTCATGGTGCAACTCGGCCAGAATTCGCACCGGACGCGTAGACTTATTCTCCACCAAATAAATCGGATTGCTCCGAAAAGTCGTGAACATTGGACTGCCCCCGCAAGTCTTCTTGTTCCACTCCCCAGAAGCACTGAGGCGGTCACCGCAGTTAATGTGGCATTGCTGCATGCTGGAGAAATTACGCAAAAATACGGGCAGTGGCAAGTACAAATGCTCCTCACGCGACGGATCAAAGCTGCATATTTGCTTCAACCCTTCATCCCAGCGCGGGTCCTCTCGGTTGAGCGGGCCATTGTAAGTTGGCGCATCAAAGTAACAGTTGTGTAGCTTCACAACAACGTCCGCCGGGCCACTTGACTCCCCAGCTGTTTCAATAACTCCCAGGACGGCGTAACAGCACTGCGGATGAATGCCATCCACGGGGTCCACGCTGGACATGCATACAATGACATCGCCACGCTCCAGATCCTTCGCCACACTGTCCCAGAAATTCACGGAACGGAAATCACCGGTGCCAGCAGCTTCCGCCAGCTCGTCCACAAACAGAGTGTGTGTCACTGGGCGGCCTGTTAAGTCACGCAACGTTTCATGGGGCGCGCACTGGTCAAGCCGTGAGTACCCGCCAACAAATTTCGCGTAGGCCTTCTCCAGCAAGAGGGGGTACCACGACTGCCTTGGAACTCGTGTAAACTTCGGCTCCATGTTTGCATCCACAGGAACACGATCATCAATGTCCACGCGCACTAGAATACTGTTAGAATCATAAAAGACGCAAGTATATGGACCGTTTGGAGGATGCCACTTTGTCTCAAACAAACGGTCAATAGGTAGAAATTGCCGACCGAGGGCGGTAATAAAGGGTGCCAGGTAGCTTTTGTTCCCGGGGGCCGAGATCACATCGCCCGATGATAACTTCTCCGGCACCACTGAGTCACGGACACCCTCTGGGTAGAGCTGACAGATGCGTGGCCACTCCTCTGCCATGTGTTTATTCGCCTCATGGAATTCCTCATCCTGCCACCCGCGGTACTGAAAAGCCAACTCACGCACGCGTCGCCTCATTCTTCCCTCCACCTCTGCAATTCTTTCTTCCTTGCCTTCCGTGCTGTTTCGTAGACGCTGCCGTTGCACCTCCAGTGTATGAAACGTAGCATCCTCGTCTAGGGCCAACATGTTCAGTGGCACACCATTCGTCTCCTCTTCCAGAAATGCACGTTCCTTTATGATGTATTCCTCTGCTAGCTGCAACGCGCGAGCATTCAAACTCCTCTCAATTTCCCTGATTTCAGCCCCGTCAACCGCGTCTTCCCTCTTCAGCTTGATTCTCTCCAATTCAAGTGGATGGAACACCGAGTCTGTGTCAAGTGCGAGGCTCTTCAGAGGAACTTCCCAGCGATTGGGATGCAGGTACCCCCGATCGCTCTCCAGCACACTGTGCGCAATTTTCATCACACGCTCAGTCATTCCCGCCTTTTCCTCCGAGTCATCCAGCGATTGGGCACGCTTCTTTCGTCTCGCCCGTTCAATAGCGCGCAGCTGCAAGTCCTCATTCAGAGGAAGTTCTTCCAAAGGAATTCCAAACGGCGCGGGAGGAAGAAAGGCACGTTCCTCTTCCAGCAATTTCGCCGCCAACTCATACAGCCGAGCGTTCAATGCTTCTTGAAGTTCTCCAACTTTTGCCTTGTTTCCACGCACTTCCATGCAAAGAACCGCATTAATGTGTTTGAACTTTTCGTCGTTTTCGAATGGGACATCTTTGAGCGGTACACCAAGAGGCTCAGGATCCAGAAACGAGATATTCTTCCATAACATTTCCTTCGCCAAGGCGTGGGCCCGTTCGTTCATCTTGTCCTCAAGTTCTTTTACAGCAGCGTTATCACTCTTTGATGAAGAGTGTCGCAGCTTTTCGCGCCTTTCAATTTCCAGCCTACGAAATTTCTTGTCACTATTAATGGGCACGTACCGAAGCATAATACCCTCCGGCTCCGCGTCAAGAAACTCACGCTCCTTCTCCACAAACTCCCTTGCGATTTCCTTCACGCGGGCCTGTATATCATCCTCGTACGCACGAATGGAGCTTATGCTGTGTTTGGGATCCTTCCTCTGTTTACGGCGCTTACGCTCCAAGGCGTTCAGAGCAGGATCATGATTAAGAGGAAGATCATCGAGGGGAACACCAAACGGCTCAGGATCAAGGAACGTCCTTTCCTTTCGAAGGAACTCCCTTGCGATTTCATTCACACGCTCTTTCAAATGCTCCTCGAGACTCCTTACTGTTTCTGGGGAGGCATTGGGGGCCTTACGCAGCTTGGCGAGGTCACGCTCCATATTAAGGAACACCGGATCGCGGCTAAACGGCAACTCTGCCAGCGGCACACCCTCAGGCTCAGGATCTAAGAAGGCACGAAGCTTCCGAAGGCACTCCCTTGCAAGTTCGCGCACACGATCATTCATCGCAGCTTCCAACTTTTCTAACGCCTTCGGTGAGCGATTCGGATCCTTGAGCTTCCGGTACCGAGCCACCTCCGCCCTCCGAAACTCCGGATCGATATCCAGCGGGAGTTCCTTCAGGGCAATTCCCTCCGGCTCTTGTTCCAGGAATACACGCATCTTGCCAAATTCTTCTAGGGCAAGAACATGAGAGCGCGCATTCATGCCCGCTTCAAGCTCACAAATTACATCCCTGTTTTGGTTTTGAGATCGGGGATCCTTTGCCAGCCCTCGACGCTCAGCCTCCATGGCGAGAAAGATTTTGTCAGTATCCAGTGGAACATCTGCCAGATCCATGCCTTCAGGTTCAGGATCCAAAAAGGCGCGTTCACTCCGAATGAGATCATCTGCAATTTGAGAAGCCCTTGCATCCATAGCTTCTTCTATAATTGCCATTTTAGCAGAAGAACAACCCCTTTTACGGGCTATACGTCGTTGATTTGCCAGATCCCTAAACTTCTCGTCCTTGTGCAGGTTCAATGCTTCCTTCGGAAGCATGCGATATTCCTTCTTCAAACACTTCAGGTCATCTGCAATGACCTCCTTTGCAAGTTCATGAGCGCGATAATTCAAGCTTTCGCGCATTTCAGAGATGGCGGATCTATTGCGCTCTTTATCGCGAGAAAGCTTCCGAAGTTGCGCCTCCATACGCCTAAAATTAGCGTCTTCGTCAAGTGGAATATCCCGAATAGGGATACCTTCGGGCTCAGGGTCCAAAGTCATCCGATCCTTTTGGACGCGCTCCCTTGCAAGTTCATGAAAACGATTCCTGAGCTTTTCCTCCAAGTCTTTTATTTTTTTTGAGTCGTGACCTTTTGCCTTCAGTATGGCCCGCTCCAGCTCCAGCTCGGTGAACACCTTGTCATCGTCAATGGGCACGTCCACAAGCTCAACACCCTCGTATTCGGGTTCAAGATAATCAGAACGATCACCCTTTAGCATCTGCAGACCCAGCTCATCGGCACGGGCTTGCATCATTTCCTGAATATTTCTAATATCAGTTGCATTATGGTGGGGACTTTGCCTTATCTCTCGTAACTGATGCTCCATATCTCGGAAGTAGCGATCTTTGTCAAGCGGCAAAAGCTCCCGCGGGATTCCATAATATGTGGTGTTCAAGATGGCACGCTCCGTCTCCTTGAGTTCCTTCGCAATCTCGTGCGCACGGTCATTCAAAGCAGCCTCCAGACGAGCTATCGCAACGGCATTGCGCTCAGCATTCGCCTTCAATTTGCACCGCTCAACCTCCATCTTGTGAAACTTCTTATCCAAGTCGAGGGGAAGACAGGCAAGGGGAACTCCCTCCGGGTTGGGGTCAAGGTAGCCACGATCACCCTTTAAGACTTGATCGGCAAGCTCGTGTGCGCGGTCGTTGAGGCGGGCCTCAAGGGCTGTGATCTTGCTGGCGTTCTTCTTCGCGTCAGTCAACTTCAGTACCGCGCGCTCCACCTCAATCTCATGGAATTTTTGGTCAGTGTCCAGCGGCAGCATACCCAAAGGAATTCCATTGGGCTCGGGGTCAAGGTAGCCGCGATCACCCTTGAGGGCCTGATCGGCAAGCTCCCTCACCCGCGCGTTCATTGCGTCAGTAGCTTGCGACGACAGACCCTTGGATTTGCTCCCAGTACCACGTGCCTCCTTTGCCAAGGAGGCAAACAACTCATCGTCATGTGGTCTCAAAAGGGCCAACGGAATGCCGCGTGGGGCCGCATCGAGTGCCTCAAGATCCTTCTGCTTCACTGCGCGAGCAATATGCAATGCACGGTCGTTCAACTGATTCTCCAGGTCAGCAATACGAGCTGCGTTCCCTGCAGCATCGGCAAGCTTTAGCTTCGCCAACTCCAGTTCGGTCTGGGAGAAGACCTTATCCTCATTCAGTGGAAGATCCTTTAGCGGCAGCTTCTCCGGATAGGGATGCAGCTTGTCGCGGCAGCCCTGCAACACATCCCCCGCCAGTTCATCAACACGTTTGCTCATTTTGGCCTGCAGAGCGCGTATCTCATCCGAATTAGCTGCAGCGTCAGCCTTCAGCACACGAAGCTCCTTCACCATTGCGCCAAACTTTTGGTCGTCGTGCGGTCGCAGCAGATTAACAGGAATGCCACGAGGAGTCTGCTCCACACCTCGCAGGTCCTCTGCAAGCTGCTCTTTCGCAAGTTCAATTAGACGTTCGTTCAATTTGTCCTCCAACTCCTTAACTTTCCGGGAGTCCTGGGGTCTGTGCGACGCCTTGAGTTTTGCCCGTTCGGCCTCCAGCGCATGAAATATCGGGTCGTTGTCAATATTCAGCACAGCAAGCGGCACCCCGCATGGCTTGGTGTCCAAGTAGCTTCGATCGCCTTCCAACAGTTTCTTAGCAATTTCATGCGCTCTTTTCTTCAGGTCATGCTCAAGATTGCTGATGGCCTCCTTGTTCGCACTCGGATCTTTCCGGAGGGCCCGAAGCTTCTCCTCCATCTTTATGAACTCCTTATCGTCGCCAAGCCTCAGCAGCTCCAGTGGTATGCCCTCTGGGGCAGCACCACAGAAGGCCTTGCGTGACTCATGGACCAACTCAGCCGCACGCTGATTCATCGCATCCTCCAGCTCCTTCAGCTGCGCTGAGGCGTTTCCCCGGCTGCCTGCAGCCTTTCGCAGCGCACGCGCCTCCATCTCCAAGGCGTTAAACTCCTCATCGGCATCTAACGGTAGCGACGAAAGCGGAACTCCCTCTATATACTGGTTCAAAACACCGCGCTCCTTCTCATGCAGCTCTTGGGCCATCTCGCGTGCCCGCGCATTCAGCTTGTCAATAATCTTCTCTACCTTCTCTCTGTTGCGAGGGTCCGAACCGAGCTCACGGAAATCGTTCTCGAGAGAACGAAACCGCTCATCATCGTCAAGTGGAAGAGACTCCAGAGGAACTCCTAATGGACGTGCGTCAAGTACTTTGCGAAGCTCATGCTTCAGCCGCTTCGCAAGATACGACGCCCGTTCCAGCAGTTGATTTTCAATATCCTTAATAGCCTGCGCGTTCTTCTGTGGATCGCTCTTCTTCAATGCGGCACGCTTTGCCTCCAAACGAGTAAACTCGGTATCGTCGTCAAGTGGCAAATGACACACCTTTACACCTTCCAACTCATCACCCAGAAACATTCGGTTCTGGCGAACAAACTCAGCAGCCATTTCCCCAGCACGCCTGTTCAGCGTCGCTTCCACTTCGGCGATTTGTGAGACGTTTTTCTTTGGGTCATGACACAGATGAGCACGCTCAGCCTCAAGGCGGCCAAATTCCCCGTCATTGTCCAACGGCAGTTCCGTTAAAGGAACCCTAAAGTACTCCGCCTTCATATATTTCGGGCGTTCCCCCGCGTTCATGTCTTTTGCCAGCTGGTGTGAACGCGCATTCATTTGCTCCTCCAAGGCCAATATGTGCCGAGAGTTCGCACCCTCCTTCTTTGCCTTGCGTCGCTCAGCTTCACACTTCATAAACAAAGCGTCAGTATTCAGCGGAAGTTCAGAGAGGTAGCGACCCTCAGGCTCTGGATCAAGAAAGGTACGCTCCTTGGCATGGATCTCCGCAGCCATTTCACGAGCACGTTTATTCATCTCCGCTTCGAGGGCAGCAATCTTTTTCGCATTCGCAAGAGGGTCCCTACTGAGTTTCATGTGCTCACGCATCATTGCAGCAAACGCATCATCGCCCATAAGATCTATCTCCTGAATGGGAATGCCCTCCTGTACTGGGTCAAGAAAGGAAAAATCAGGCTTTTTTGCCCTCTCAGCAATGGCGTCTGCCTTCTGCCTTAGCAGCTCCTCCAGACGTTGTACTTTGGCTGCATTTCGTGGGTCTTTCTTCAGCTCATAGAGAAGCCGTTCGGTAGACATGTAATCCTCATCGCAGTCAAGAAAAGGATTCAACCAATCTAGATCATGCCCTTGGAGGTACTTTGATCGATCCTTCCCGACAATCATCTTTGCCATGGCGCTCGCATGATCCTTTATTTTCTGTTCAAGAGCACGAATCTGTTCCTCATTTCCTTTAGGATCCTTGTGCAACTCGTTCAAAATGGCGAGAAGTCCCTGCATTGTTTTGTCATCATGTAGGTGAAGATCTTCAAGCGGCACGGACTCCAGCTGCGCGTCGAGAAAGTCCAGATTGACCTCTCCAAGCTCCCCAGCTCTCTCTGGACGGTCCGTGATGCGCACGTGTGCCGGCTCCACGCCAACAACCTCCACCTTGCAGGGCACAATGCCTTTGCTGTGCGGACACGTGACACAAATGGCGTAACGGCCAGGCTCAGGGAGGTTGTGTACGAGACCTATCTCCCGGTAGTTTGTCGCTAATGTGACGCCTTGAATGCGCCTGTCATCGCCGTCATAAAGATAGGAACCAATAAAGTCTTCAGTCATGGCATCACCACCCGTGGACGACTTAAACGGCTTCTCCTGCCGCACAAGAATGTGGATGTCAGTGGGAACATCGACAAGAAAGTCCACACGATCCTTCCCCTTGTTCTTCAATTCAAGGTGCCTAATTGCAGGCAGGCGGCGTTCAACCTTCACACTCAGTCGCTCAATCTTCATTTGCTTCAAATCGGCTCGCTTCTGATACCAATACGAAAGCAAAAATTTGCCTTGCTCGTGAAACATGGCGCTGGGGACAAGATAGCAGAGAGACTGGGGAGGCACCGTAACAAGGTTTACCAACTCACGGGAGTCCACAAAAAGTCTCGTATGCACCATACGATGATTGTTGCCTGTCACCAGATAAGTGGGAATCATCGTCGTATCCGTACTCTGCGAGAGAACAAGACCGCATTGGATGTAATTCAACTCCCGATTTGGCATCAGATGAAGCTTGTGTCGCTGATCCGGCTGCCCAATCGCCGCTATAATCTGCAAGGGCTCCTCAGAAGTGTTCCGCACCACATACAGTGGGTTCTCACGCCACGTCACAAGGGTGGGGTTGCCTCCACTCGTACCCTCACCCCACTCGCTGTTAAAGTGCCAGCTCGGCAGCATCAAGCCCCCAAGCAAGACCTCCTCAATGCTGGAAAAAGTCTCAAGGAACACTGGAACAGGCATGTAGATTACATCATGCCGTTCAGGCGCAAAAGAGGAACGCAATGCAGGGGTCCAGGAGCGGTCACCGCTGCTCATGGGGCCCTTGTAGACTGCCTTAACAAACGGGTTGTCGATCACAACCAGCAACTCGGACAAGTCAGGGCCAGACGATTTTCTCAGGGAAACAATTCCAAGCACGCCGTACATCTGTCTGCCAAGCATTCCAACCGCCTCTGCCCTTTTTTGGCTTAGTTACGCCACCTAACGCTGTCGTGTTCAAGTTCTCCCCCAATTCCAGCCAAAACTCCGGCTCATCAATTGGATACGTGGCGAGCTTCGCAAGTTTCAGATCGGTCGGGATGCTCACCACGGGGCATCCAGTAAAGTCGTAGTACAACTCCTGCAGTGTGCACCCCTCGACGTTCTGGTACAGGGTATAAAACTTTGCGTACGCCTTCTCCAACAACAAGGGCCACCAATGGCGGGTAGGGGAACGACAGAAGAGGGTCTGCTTCTCCAGCAGCGGGATGCGGTCGTCAATTTCCACCTTCATCCACTGACCATACCTGTGGAACTGGAAGGTGTAGCGGCCGTCCTTTCGCACCTTCTTAGTTACAAACAAGTTGCGGATTACATCGGGGTGGTGGTCCACAAGTGCAGCGAAGGCGGTCAAGCAGCAGCACTCAAAGTGACTGCCCTGCTCAAACTGGTCTCGGCCCAGCTTATCGGGAAGGAGCGGCAGTTTCTTGCCTTCCGGGTACAAGTCACCAATGTGGATCCACGGGTCA